ATTACGATAATATATGGTTGTGTTCGATGACTCTATGGCGCAGTTGCCAAGGTATTGGCTTCGGGGTCGTGGGTTTGACAAATAGTTGCCCCCACACGGGGGCAAACGAAACAACTATATGTGACCCACATATAGTTGTTTCGTATCTGGGTGTTTGTCCACGTGATATTGATCTTTGTAAAACGTCCCTACATAATAATGTTACCCAAAAGTAAGGGCAATGTTTAAAAAAAAAACAATTCGCGGGAAATGACAACGTTACCTTAAGTTTTCTTTTCAATAATTCCACTGTTCTTATGAAAATAGGAAAGGCAAGATAAAACAATAATAGGTCACTGATATTATTTAAGAATTATCTTTCATGTTTTAAAAAATGTAAACGATTCATCAATGAACAAGAGTGGTCTTTGAATAAAACAAACTTAGGTGGTAATTGTTATTACTTTATTATTGTGGCTTCTCATATCATACTTTACTCAATTCAAAACACTTACTCGCGTTGTGTTCTCACAGTGTTACGAGATAACAGCAACCCCTCCAACCCGTTCCGTTGTCTGGCCTGCCTGGCTTAACTCTTTGGCCTAGCACACATTGATATCTATAGTATTAACTTACGCTAAACATAAAGTCGATGATTAATAAATACTTTAGAAAAAGAATATCAAATTAGAAAACCAGAAAACATTTGATCTTAGGAAATAAAATAAAAATAAGCAAAACATTAACGGGGTAGACTGAACACTAATGCAGGTGCCACCATTAGAAATCTCTATCATTCAGATCAATTTATGTGCAAGCGTCAGCTTGGTATATGCCAAACGTGATAAGCCCGCACGCCTGCTCGCCTTATACTGTGCACAGAATTCAGGCAGGCTATCCATTTCGCAGAACGCGAGGCCTTCGCTAAACATAAGCCACAATAGACTAACGCCCGGTTTCTGAAACACTTTTCATCCTAGAAATTAACTAATCAGGTGTCAAATGTCATTTGGGTTGCCGAAAGGATGGTTAAACTAAATATAAACATTATAAATATGATTTGATCATTTCTGATCAATTCAAAGAGTTTAACCATCTTTTGATTGAGAGCTGATTAGTTAATTTCTACGATGATCAGTGTTTCAGAAACCGGGCGTAAGGAGGGCAATCGAGGGCTCGTGTATCACACGATTCCACACAAAAGCCGTTCGATTTAATCCGTCCCCGTTATTTGAGAGATATCCGCGAACAAACGGGATGCGGGGCGACATCGCGTCGCCCCCACCACCCCGCTCTGCGTAATGGAATTTTTTAAAATGGATCCTCCTCTCACGATGTCTGCTTCAATTACACGGAAGTGTTCCTTGAATGATTTGAAATTATCACCATATAATTTTTTTCGCCTCTTATTTTGTGTAATTGAAAAAGCTATTAGTTAACGCGTGTGCAAAAAATTAAGTAGGTGTATGGACACTAAGGGAATTCAAACACGGTTAAAAATTTAAGTAATAAAGTAAAAGCTAACCGCTAGTGCCCTGAGGCGCCGATTAAAACTTAGGTTAAAAATTCAAGACCCCGTAATATTTTATTTTCTCTGTCATTTCATCCGGTTTTGTAAGTGTGTTTTAAATGCAGATTTTCACGTGGACCAGATCCGAAAGAATAATATGTGGGTCACACAAATACATGTCCCTTTATTGAATCTAACCCAGGAAACGCTACGCAAACAAAAAAAAAATCACGTTGCCTATGGCCCTTTAGCTGCAGACTGTGTAATAAAACTGCAAAAACTCTTAGCTATCGTAGCTTTCGTAGTTTTCGTGTTTTTAACGTTTCCTCTATACGCAAGCGTCAACCGCACGCACCGAGCCACGGTTTAATATTATCAACACATGTTCCCCTTTATAAAAAACTCCATAAATAGACGCCCCTAGGCGTTTTATCGACAGTTAAGCCGCATGCGAGCCCCGGCCTTCGATAGATCACGTTTGCGAGGCCGATGTATATAAATACAGTTTTCTAAATACACGTTTTTATAGCAATGTATTTGGTCTTTCCGTGTCAAAGTGAAATTTATTGAAGTTTACCAGTCCAATTTATTAAATAGTTGGCTATATAAATACTCCATGACTATACGAATGAACATACGAGTGACTTTAGAAGGATTTGAGGATTACCTTAACAGAAAAGAATACTATTATGTTAAACTATACTTGACGGACCAAGATTTGTGGAGATTAATATCGGTTTGCATCTGAGAGGTCTAAGTAGAGAGGAAACTGGTTGCTGCAAATTTTGTAATAATGCTGTTGCATATATTAAAAAAAAATATCTTTACAAAATCAATTGTATACTCGCCAGAGCACTTTCTTGCCGCATTTCCTATACATATGTCCAGAAGATTACATATCGTTATTAGACTTAGAGCTTAGACGCTTGCCAAAAATATATTCCGGAACAAAAAACGGCGGCTTTCATCGCATTTTATTTTATGAAGAAGAAGAATTAAGTTCCTAGACGTTTAAAAAAAATAACTGGCTGCCCCTTACGGCCTAACGGAAAAGCTGCGGCGAGGTTCTGCCTAAGTGTAATAAAAACGTAGCAAAATGGCCACTACACTTTGTCTTAACTCCACTGACATCATCATTAGAGAATAGAAGTTAAAGCTAGTCATGCCAAAGATACTGTCATTAATTTTCTTTACAACTTGTTGGAGCGTATTACAGAACAGTCGCACGCCGAAAGTATTAATCGAATGGTGACAAAACCCTTATAGACACTCGTCTTCTGCAACAGCTTCGATACATCAGTCTTTATCGTGGGCTTTAAGAACGTCGCGAGCTATTTACAGCCCCAACGAAAATATTTATAAATCAATCGGGAATGTCATCGTGTAGATACTTAATACGTAGCAAGGGGATCGGTATGTGGCTCTGCGTGATTTACTGGCGACATCGGCCGACGTGTGGGAGCCATCACGCAGATATGTAACTCTACACCAACGAACGAGCTCCGCAATAAATCCGTTTCACTGGCCGCCCTTTAGTCCCCAAATGGCCTTAACCGGCGCACTAATAGTTCAACTAATAACGCACGAGAGCGTTTAATTGTTTTTAATTATTAAATGTCGGCTTCACCTGCTATATGTTAAAAAGGAGAATCTGAATTCTCTAAAGTCGTCAAAACGTCTGAAGGAGACAATACTTTTTGTCATTTAAATTAATGTAGTCCGCATTCAAATATTCATGTTGAAACGAGCGGTGTCGAAATTTCCTATGGAAATAAAATAAATCGGTCATCTTTGGTTATATTGATTAATTTTTCGTTAATAGTCTCTCTTTCTACATGCTGTCAAAGCGTGCTGTCATTTTCAATTTATGCACGCTTTCGCAACGCGCGCACGCATTCATTTCTGCCGGTTCCATGTAATATTTTATTAAATTCAACAATGTATGTTACTAACCCATAACAATATTCGGAAATTATAGGCAACATGTGCTGAATGCAATTATACGCTAATAGTAACGTTACTTCACGTGCTCGGCAGTGAGGGGAAACATCGTGAGGAAATCTGCATATTTTCAAAATAATAGCAAAAAAAGAAAATATTTTGAAAATATATGAAGTCTGCCAATACCCAGTGGGGTCGCGTGGCGGTATAGTCCCCTCTCATACACACTTTACAGAGGCCTTTGCCCAGCAATGGGGCATTAAAGGCTGTTACTTACCTTATGTACACTCATAGTAACTTTGCAATTTTGAGCACCATTATAGATTTGAGGATCGACCGAACGAAGAATGGTGATGAATAGATGTATAACATACTTAATTTTATTCAAGTCATCAATTGAATAACGGTCGATTAATGTTTGACCAATTTGAGGATAGTATTAAAATTTATCCGAATATCAAACGTTAGCTAAATCACTAACGCAATCAAGTAATTTTTAATTTTTTTGCTGAGCCTAGTTTAACAAAAAAGAGGCTTTAAAAATAATAATAAAACGCGATTTTACGATAAAAAATTATTATAAGATCGCTGGTAAGTTATTGCGCGTTTAGTTCTAGAGCAAACGAATCTTTTATAATAAATCAACAGATATATATATGTATGTATATAAAATTGGAAAGTAATTATGTAGAAATGGCTTTTAGGCTGTCATCGTGCAAACAGAAGTCAATATCCAAGGATATTAAAAGACACTTTATCGTACATTATTTGCTAGAACTCCTTTTTGAGGGTAAGTGCTCTTTTAAATATCGTACAACGAATCCCCGAGGTGGCGCGTCAAGTTTAATTAAAGTTTTGCGAAGATTGAGGCGTCGCTTAATTTCGAGTCTAGGTGCCTGGATACCGGCGGACCCAGTAGGCCACTAAATTAAGATAGGGACGCTGACGATTACATTTAAAATTAAATCGTGAAGTGTCAACAGCGTCTGTGGTTCGGTAGAATTTGGCGTGTGAAGTAAATAACAGTGAGTTCAACGACACGATGAAGTCATATCAAGCAGCGGTAGACGTTGGGCTTCTATCGTATTTAAGTTTATTACAGAAAACACACTCGACTCAATGATCGGATAATTTGATTATGCGCATTACTCATCTATGAGGAAACAAACTGTGTGATTACTAACATGTATACTCGTTTACTACACAGCTAAATGAAATTGTCTCTTGATATTCGTCGCATTTAACTTTGTTTCCAAAATTCCTGAAACGTTTCGAATACATTACAGCGAGTATGGTCACGGCAGAATCCAAGCTATGTTATGTCCTAATGTCATGGGCTACGGTTAGCTTTTTTCGATATATGCCAAAGGTGTTTACAGTATCGTCTTCTTACAGTATTGGTCTTCTTAATTCATTTCATCATTCATTGATATTAATGATAAAACTCCTTCTATTTTACAAACCAAACATTTCGCAGGTAACAACTGGTGATGTGCCATGTGTTTTTACGCAAATATTAAAAAAATAATTGATTTTTAAAACAGCCTCCTATCCCATAGGGTCGAGCGTCATGCGAACAGCGATATCAAATTCATCTGGCAGGAGGGAGTCCCGAATGCAGAGTGGCCGGTTTAACGACTCGGAAACTACGAGGCAAGACGCGGGTAACTGCATTAGCCTCGAGTTACTCGCTGCGGGTAAATGATAACGAACGAGTTAGCGCTGCGTTCGCCGGTGCAGAGGTGAGTTCGGAACGTTGTTAGACAACTTTGCTTGAAGTTCGTTATAGTAAAACAGTAAAGGAATGCGAAAATAAGATGGATAGTGAAAAAATAAAGATTCACCTGTGATATTTCGCAATGGCATTTTTATTTAATAATTTTTTAATGTCAGAAGGTGGCAAATGACCTTGTGGCGGTCCTCCTGAGTTGCGGATGCGTGGCCCACCTTTTAATAAAAGTGGCCCTGGCTACCTCACTCATCAGACGAAACGCAGAAGAATAGGGACTCCTACTGCTGTAGGATGGCTAATCCGGGGAAATACCGTGGCATTTGGTCGTTGTCGTGAAGTCGTGACCTCACAGAAGAGGCAGAGCATAAAAGAATTATCAATACTTTTATACATCTCATTTAGTGGTTTCGGGAACTGGAATGCCTTTATATACTAGTCCAGCAATGACAGAATACTCGGATCGTTTCCCGCATTCTAATACGAAAACGTTAAAACTGACCGCCAACTATACGGAGGCCGCATTAAGTACGTACGATTTAAAAGTGACTATCGTAAAGATTTAGCGACCGGGGAAGAATGGGCGGGTGGGGCTGATTTAAGGCCGGCACGGTGGGCCGATAGCGGGCGAGCGGTCGTAAACCACCGGCGTTTATCCGCGATCGCGATCTGGCAACGCCTTGGCAACGTGCTGGCGGCGGCGGAATCGCGTCAGCGGCGGGCACGAGTTATGGGGCCGCTGAGCTTGACCGTCTCGAACAACTAGAAGACTACGAACCGAGACGTTTTTAAATTTTAAAGCTTTCGTTCGTTGTACCCTTGATTTTTTATTAAGATTCGCGAGCAGTGTAGTCCATGCATTTCGAGGTTTTTATAAAAGAATGCTTATTAGCTTTCTCTCTCGATTAACAGTTTTATTAAAATAAATTTAACAAAAAATATATTTGTGATATAAAAAAGAGATACATAAAGAGAACTTAATAATCATCATATCGTTTTAACATAATATAACTTTGCCATGTGAAATTATTGCTTAAAGAGTTGTCAATTTCATGGCAATCCAGAGAGATTGTCCCGTTTATACCTATACCCCTATGTGCTTAGCAGAACCTAAAGTATCGGAAATCTGAAATAAGATTCCTTAACAGTATGGTAGCAAACAATGGTCTTTGTTATAAGAAAACGGACAACTTCAAGTCGTTGGAAACGTTAGACAAGACATACTAATAACAACATTTTAAGGCTACCACACGATATCTTTAAAACCTCAATTATTAAGTGATAAGTAAATACGCAACAGTATAATCATGGCTGGAAACTTAGTCATAGTTGGAACATTCGTTTGTGGTTCACCAGTGTTTCTCGACAGCTCTCACAAAAACCACCCACATTATGAATTGCATATTTAGTAACGTAAAATATGATAGGATCGTATTATGATTTAATATTAATAATTTCATTTACGTAAAGTTAACTGATAACTGTTATTAACTTAAAAAAGTTGACTGAACTTAAGATTGAATATTCTATATTTTAAAATTAAAACCGACTATTCCTTCCAGAAGTTACAAAATCCTCTATACGATATTCAGCTAAGAGTTTACAATGATCATAGCTTAAACGGAAAACGGTTTCGGTTTTTTTTAATTAATGTCCATCAAATTAGAGAAACGCCGAGTACTGTCAAAGACAATTATTCAAGAAATGACAACGACTTAAAAACGTCATGTAAAAGTTAATCGAACAGCGTATTGCAGAAAAAAGTAATTCAACTGTACCTACACTACATAACAAGTCCCCGCAGACTTCTATACAAACAAAAAGTCCGTCCAAGCCGCGTCATGCATAAAACATAAGAGGAAACCAAGCCACCATCATTGCATTAAAATTGCACAATCCAATTAAAAGGAAACATAAAGGCACGCGACAGATAACTCTTCGGGGAGGCAAATATCTCTCCCTATAGTCGTCGATGCACCCTAAGGGCTGCAGCGGCCCATATTGAAAGAAAGGGCGATCACCCCAAGCCATTGGCGGGGATTATTGGAATATCCCTTTACAGCACGACACAGGAGCGTAGATCTTAACGAGTCCCTTTGTCTGATTCGGTTCAAAACCGTTACATAAAAACTAATCGGATCGAATGCGGAACAATGTTATCTGCAACGAGGAGCTCCTTTGTGAATTGTCTTGAGAGGCGGTCGGATAAGATTCGGCGGCCCGTGATGTAAATTAACGTGATCTGTTGACTCTGCACAATCTCTTTGTTATTGATAGCCGAATGTATTGTGTGTCGCTTTGTGGCAATCTATTATCACAACAAGAAGGCGCGTATTGACATTCTGGTAATTCTCTCAACTTGTGAATCGTCTGAAATGACGGATCGATTGCTTATCCCACATCTGCTCCTATGCTGTTGATGTTAATTATTCAAATCTTCGTGTTAATTATACAAATCAATACTCTTTGTTTTTATTATTGACAAAACTAATTTAAATTTTAAAGTTTTTTATAGTGCTAATCTTTGCACTTAAGATTGAACATTAAATACTAATTTATAAAAAATTTTCGCTTGAATTCTTATAAAGATTAAAGCGTAACTTAAAGGCGGCTTATTAGGGGTCATAATCCTTAACTGCGACGCAGCGAAGAAAACGAAGAAGAATTAAAAATAAATTTAAAAAATTTAACAAATAAATATCTTAAGATTTATGAACTTTAACGAGACCTTAACCGAATTCGAGAGCATGATGATAGTGAACAATGCACAATTGCTTTTCATCATGTGGACATATTTGGCTACGGTCATCTGCGAACTTCATATGGTACACGCCCCGTCACCATTTCCGATGACTCATGGCGTCCAACAAACGACGGGGCGAGGGTTGATGTCAATTAACTCGAACCCCAGCAACGGTGCCAGATTTCTCCTATCACAGTTTCTGTTTACTTAGATTTTGCCATGTCATTGAAGAATTATGCGCATTTTGTCACTCGAACTTTCTATAAAAATGTTTGATTCATAAAAGTCTGTTAAGCAAACGAGTAAAGTAACAGCCTATATATATGGCCCATTGCTGAGCAAAGGCCTCCTCTGTACAGAGGGTATAAGGGCGTAATCCACCATACGACCCTACTGCGAATTGGCAGACTTTTTGTCTTCGATAAAATTATTTTAATAATTATTTAGAAAATATTGCAGGATTCCTCACCGCGATGTTTTCCTTCATCGCTCGCTGAGCACGTGACAAACCAGTAAAATTAACAATTTCATTGGTGCCGACACCGAGGTTTGAACTCGGGTTGCTCTAGTATATTGAATTAAAAGTGAGCGCACGGAATCGTGCTATCACGGATCTACTTACATCTGTTACAAACGTTGAGTTTAATTTAAAAAATCCTCTAATCTTTATTCGTATCTCTTGATTCTCTAATTTGGCACAGCTTAGCCACAGCTTTTAGCTATGGCTTCGGCAGCATCATCATTTTAAAGGAAACACTAACAAATTTTATTGCGATTAAAAGAATCATGTATTTTACTTTCACCAAATAGGCAATCTCCATTACAATTACCTTCAAATCCGCTCCGCCCGTGCCGTGGAATTGAGCCAAATATCGACACACAACTTGTTGCTAATGAACTGAAGTAAATAAATAAATTACCCCAAACATGGATAGCTTTGAACTCACCTTCGCAGGCTTTGGAGCGAAGATACAGTCCCTACGTACAGCCGACATGATACGGTGAGATTAACAGATCATCCGTAGACGATAAAACGGACCCAAAGAACTAAAACACCGATCCGGAGCCGGCTTGTGGCCCGAATAGAACGCCGCCCGATAACCATTTTTAACCGACTTCAAAAGGAGGAGGTTATACCTATCCAATCACCGTTTATTTAGAAACAAGTGCGGGACACAAATAAAGCGAAATTTGGGCCATCAATTAAAACTGCGAAAGTGAGTTGAGTTAGAAGGGGCCGACCGAAAAGTTCCACTTGCGACATTTAACGATCCTCGACACGCCGAGGCGATTGGGAAGCGAGATCTAAAAGATGGGGGGGGGGGGGGCGTTGAGTATAAACGGGCGAAACGGAGAAACAAATTAAAAATGCAGAATATATCTGCAGACAAGTGTAGTGACTTGGTCATACATAACGAACACAATCAGCCATCTAATTACAAATGTGAAAATAAATTACATTCATCAGCTGTCAAATTGTCTAATATGTCCAACAATAAAATAATAATTGTATCAGATAATATAGGGCAAGGTTTTGGTTCTTTATTATCTAAGCATGTAAGTAATGTGTACAATATATGTTCACCAGGTGCCAGTTTCCATAATAATATAAATAAAATATTAACATTACATTTAAATGAGAATAGTACAATTGTACTTCTTCATGGGGATAGTTCGTCCGTTAGGAAAAAGGAAATTATTAATAATATGGAAATGTTACTTGGCTTACATTATAAGACTAAGTGTAAATTTATAATATGCTCATTTCCATATTCCTCTTTCCTTACAGAAGAACAAAATAAATACATATATAGTCTTAACATGACTATATATAATAAAACTCACCGTCATAGTGACGCTTTCTTTTATTTTGACATGAATAATTTTATTAAATCTAGTTTTAAGGTGACAAAAAATACTTGGTATTTGCCATTATATTATAAGAAACAAATAGCTACTTTAGTAGCATACAATATACAGAACCCAGTTGTACATAGTACAACTAAGAATATTTTAACATGTAATAATCCGTCATCAAATAATGTTAGTTTAAACTAAACATTGAGACAACACCTAGGCCACAGAAATTAAATATTGTACATCAAAATATACAAGGCTTGGGTGGCAAAGAACCTGAAATAGAACTGTTCCTTAGGAAATTTAATATTCATGTCATCTACTTCACAGAGACATGGTTACATAAGAATTGTAATATTGTAAATATAGAGAATTATAAAATGTTAAGTTCGTTCGTAAGAGTAAATGCTATACGCGGTGGCTCTCTTGTGTTAGTTATAAATGATATAGTTTGTAAAAATCGACAGGATATAATGGCACTCTCTGTCGAACGTTCTATAGAATTATCCTGCGTTGAGAGTCAACAGTATATTATAGTATGCGTGTATCGATCCCCCTCCGGTGATTTCGACCAGTTTGAGTGTGTCATGGATGATGTCCTTAAAAAACTGTGTTTAACTAGTAAATCAGTCATAGTTTGTGGAGATTTTAATGTGGATTTATTACAAGTAACACAACTTAGTAAGCGGCTTTTAAATTTATTTAATTCATTCAAACTTAAAAATCTTTTTTATGAACCAACTCGTGTTACTAACTTATCCTCCACATGTATCGATAACGTTTTCTGTCACAATGAAGTATATGACAAATCTATTATAAATTATCTGAGCTCTGATCATCTTGGTTTAAAATTTTCAATAAATGAAAACATTACTACAAGTGAAATTAAGATCAGGTCACCAGTCACTGCTAGGAGACTAAATTCTTTTAAAGATAAAGTAGCAGAGCATGTATTCCATAAAGATATCGGAGTCAATAACCCTAATGATTGTTATAGATCAATGGTTGATTTTCTCATAACTTCCTATAATCATATTTTTAAACCCCGCACAATTGTTAAAAAATCAAAATTAAAATTTAGTGACTGGGCAACAGTGGGTATATATAAAAGTAGGGATTCACTGTATGAATTATATAATATGAGGCAGTGGAATCACGACCCTAACTTCCATAAATGGGTACAAAATTTTTAAAAATATTTAAAAAAGTCTGTATACATGCAAAATCTATCTACATAAGAAATAGGATTTTAAATTCTAGTAATAAAATAAAAGCTACATGGGACATCATTACCTGTATATCTGGAAGACCCAAGATATTCAGGGAACCTATAAAGCTAGTGATAGGCAATACACCCATAAATTCAGATAACGAAATTGCAAGTAGTTTTGAAAGTTATTTTTCAGAAATTGCAATTAATGTTACATGCACGTTAAAATCCTCTCCCATTGATGCAATTAATGTATTAAAAAATAATGTTACCTATTGTCGACAAACGTTTAAATTTAATCACATAGATACTAATGATATTATAAAAGTTTTGAATTCTATTAATCTTAAAAATACAGGAGATTTGTGGGGCATGTCCATAAAATTAATGAGTACAATAATGCCGTATATTGCACCATATTTGGCAAATATTTTTAACAAATGTATAGATTCTGGAATATTTCCAGATCTTATGAAATTCAGTAAGATAATCCCCGTTTTCAAAAGTGGGGATAAAAATGATCCAGGAAATTACAGACCTATCTCCATATTGCCATCTCTGAGTAAAATTTTTGAAAAACTAATTTTAAATCAACTCTTAGTACATTTTAATATGAACAAAATTTTCCACAATGAGCAATATGGATTCACTAAAGGCAGATCGACAACGGGTGCGGGTGTCGCACTTGTCAAGCATATTTATAACGCCTGGGAAAGGTCACAAGATGCAATAGGTGTCTTTTGCGACCTTTCAAAGGCTTTCGACTGTGTAGACCACGAAACTCTCCTTCAAAAGTTAGATTATTATGGCATTCGTGACATCACCCTCAATCTCATTGCCTCTTACCTTAATAATAGAATTCAAAAAGTATCTATAAATGATGTAAATTCCACAGGGTCCCCCATGAAAATGGGTGTCCCACAAGGATCAATCTTGGGTCCATTATTATTCTTAGTGTATATAAATGATCTCCCCTTTTACGCCAGTGAGTTATGTGATGTTGTACTGTTTGCTGACGACACATCGCTAATTTTTAAGGTTGACCGAAACGTGTCGGATTATGACGACGTGAATAGTGCACTTTCGCGTATCCTCCACTGGTTTACCGTTAATAATATGGTGTTAAATGCTAAAAAAACTAAATGCCTTCTTTTTACCCTTCCCAGCGTAAGAAGGCGAAGTTTTAGCTTAACATTAAATAGCGTAACCCTTAATCCTGTTGAGTCCGCTGTATTCTTGGGAATTACAGTGGATTCAAAGCTCCAATGGAGTCCCCATCTATCATCTCTTGCGAACAGGTTAAGCTCCGCTGTTTTTGCAATTAGGAAGGTTAGGCAGCTAACAGACATCGACACTGCCAGACTTGTTAATTTCAGTTATTTCCACAGCATCTTGTCTTACGGCATTTTGTTGTGGGGTAGTGCATCTGATATAAATTCTATATTTATTCTTCAAAAAAGAGCTGTCCGAGCAATCTATAACATCGGAGCCCGGAATACACTCAGAGACCTTTTTAAAGATATTAATATACTCACTGTTGCGTCTCAATATATTTATTGTAATATTTTGTATGTTAAAAATAATATTAATAGTTATCTAAAGAATAGTGACAGACATAAACTAAATACTAGAAATAAGGACAAACTAACTACGCCATTGTTTCGTTTACAAAAAGTAAACAGGTCGTTCATGGGGCAAGGTGTGCGCATGTATAATAAAATCCCACAGTCGATATTAATCTGCCACTTGATGAATTTAAACGAAAAAATTAAAGTAAACTTATGGCTAAAGCCTATTATTCTATTGCCGAATATCTTGACGACGCCACTGTGTGGGGTTAATACTGTTGATACTTACGTAGGCTAAAACAAGACTATTGTACATGTACTATTATATTGTAAACTGATTTTTTTTAAAAAAGAGCAACTGTTGAGTTTCTTGCCGGTTTCTTCTCAACAGAAACTGCTTTCCGAACCGGTGGTAACTTACGAACGTGTTAATTTCTTGTAAAATTTTGACGTTTCATAAGAACGCGCAAGCGTCTATGTGAATAAAGATATTTTATTATTATTATTATTATTGTAATATCCAAAATACACGATTTACCAAAAAAAACAAACCGAGCAAAGCTCGGTCCTCCAGGTACTGTAAATATATACATCAATAGAAGCAACAGACTTCATAAAAGCATAATTCAAAATTATTGACATTTCATATAGACAAATATATAAAAAATGATTGCTGTTCGTTAGTCTCGCTAAAACTCGAGAACGGCTGGACCGATTTGGCGAATTTTGGTTTTGAAATATTTGTGGCAGTCCAGGGAAGGTTTAAACGTAGAGAAATTATGGAAAAATTTCATGGCAAATCGAAAAAGCAACAATTTTATTTTCCCATAACAACTGTTCCTACCTGTTGAACATTTTATGGGTGCGTTCCGAAAATTCTTTTTCTGTGTTCAGATTCACAAATAGCTAGAAATAATTTATATGGAAAAACAACGTTTGCTGGGTCAGCTAGAAGACAAATAAAATATAAGAAAAGTAAAAAAGCAGGGTAAAAATAGAACGGATATACTATACCTTTATATATTCTGTATATGTGTTATGCTTCTGCGTTTCATCTGGCTAGTGCGGTAACCGGAGCCCACTTTATTAAAGGGTGACAACACATCTGAAACCACAAGTGAGTTGTAAATGTCCATGAGCGGCGGTTATCACTTAACATCGGGTTCGCCGCCAGCTCGCTTGCCATCTTCTCACAAAAAAAACTTTTACATTTCAATTAAAGATAACTAAATAATACTAATTTCCACATAATATAAATCAAAATGCTTTAAAATAATAACGTTATAACTCTCGCTGTTCAGGAAAACTGATAACAAACAATGTACACAGTTCGTTATGCTCCGACGGACGTTGATGTACAACGATCAATGAACTGAGGGTAGATTACAAGACGCCCTGAGATCAAAGGACCCAATAAGCTTCGGTAGCCTATAGCGGATCGAATTTCCCACACTTCAAATATTCGAAATGAATAAATAAGGATCCCTAGAAGTACCCCGGGCGTAGCTGTAAATATTCATTTTATAAATATTTTAGTATAAATTTTACTATATTATAAATACTTTAATTTAATTTTCCTTCTTAATAGTAACTAGAACTTGACTGCATGTCTAAATACCAAGAACAACCTCACCGGTTGTTCTTGGTATTTCATACGCAGCTTCGAGGGGTATTTCTTCGAATGGCTACAAAGTAAATGTTATTAAAAGCGTTGTGCCTGTTTTAAGGTAGTGTCTCTGCATAAATTTTATTGATCAAGAAGGTAGTTACATTACTCTTTAGTAGCTGCTCCCGTAACTGAACGATTCGGTTTATATTAGATATGGATAACAGATTTTTTAATTAAGAACCAAATGCACATACCGGTTGATGATATTAGCAATGGAGAGAAACATACATACGTAGGCGGTATTAACGTATTAAACAACGTATAAGTAGAGGTTTACCTGCAACAAAAACACACGGTAAGAATTAAGATAATTTCATATCATATATAAATGAGTGCCTATATAGCTCAGGGTTTTGATTTTAAAATTATAGATATCTGTATAATTAAAGTACATGAAACTTCTCACATTTTAAGTAAAGTCGTTGTTTTCTATGTATTAATTGCCTCGAAATCAATATTCAAATAAATAAAACAATTTTACGGGTTTTATTAAGTTTAATTTTGTTCTTTAATTCCAAACGTTTCAAACACTTCTTTTCAGACGTCACAGAAACTAGAAGGTCATGGTGAAATATTTTTTTATTCAACCATGTGTAAGTTTTTGCATAAACTCAAAAACTGACAAAGGTGTCAATTTTTTTGTAGATAAATAACGAACCTACATCGAGAAAAGCACTTGAATAATTTGTCAGTGTTAGTTTTTCCAGAGTACATTGAGAGCGTCAACAAGACAAAAACTAATGGGCTTCTAATGAATTGGTGCTCCCACCACCTAAGACCACAGCTCTGCTTACCTTAAAGTTGGTAGTGGTCATAATTTAATCTGGTACTAATAAATTTTTAATTACAATATAAAAAAGCGTCCGCACTCAGTCCTCCGCTAAATATTCATCGCTCAAAAACTATCGTCCCCTATAGAAGAAATAAGAAATAAATATGTATAGAGCGGAAAAGTAAAATTACACATCCACGCGTTATTACATCGTGGGGTGGGTGTAAAACCAACAAGGGTGCAATGTTCTTATTAACGACCCGTCAAAAATGTTACCCTCTAATCCCGCCGCGACCTGTGACACCCTCGCCAAACACAATCGCGTATCGATTATTCCCGTAACGATAATCCCCGTTTCGAACGAACATTGGAAGCGCTTACAATGTCGAGTACCGATTACTTAACGACAGCGACGAAATCTCCGACAGTTATTCGCAGAATAAATATTCCCTACTAATATTATAAAGGCGAAAGTTTGTATGTATGAATGAATGGATTTTAATAAAACTTTACAATAACATAGTTTATACATCAGAATAAGACATAGGCTTTAGTTTATACACATATTTTATTTCTGTCTTTCTGTCTGAATGTTACGCCTTCAGCCTATTCTACGCAGACGTAGTCACGGGCAGCAGCTAGTTTACAGCTACTTTATACTTTGGGTTATATTAGCACCCAATGTGCGTTTATGTTTCAACAGAAACTAAACAGTTTTAACTATGTTTTACATAATTGACAGTAAATTACTTATACATGAAAAAAAATATATTTCTCTTTAATTTTTTCCTTAAGATTCTAAGAATTTGAAAATACACATTATAACAAAGCTAATCGTTATATTAAGCTGAAGGCTGTCGTTTCAAGCTCTGCGAATCAATATATCTCAGTGAGTTTCAGCTGCAAAAACATGAGCTGGCTAGGACACAAGAGCTGCAGTTGTTGTACCAATCGGCAGTCTCATCCGGGAAGATGGTGCCGGAGAACAGAGAGCAGGAGCGGGCGGCAAGTGTGGGTGTGAGTGTGTGCCACTAATTATCGGGTCTCGTGATGGGTGCAGATTGCAGCAGCAGACCACCATGGGTCCGTACCTGGTGAGTGAGGTAAGCTCTTAAAGGTTGACGACGCAACCTGCCACTTCTAATGTCGTACATGTTCGGGCGGCGGTTATCACATAAGGTCCGCCGAACCGCCTTCCTTCTTGCTAACTTTGCACATGAAAATAACATCAAACTTCGACACATCACAGATTAAGTTTCTGCAACAATTTATCTAAAAAAAATCATTATAGAGTAATCTCTTACACAGTTTGACGTGAAACTTTAATATGATGTTTTATGACGAGGATTGAACGAACGAAGGAAAGTACACAATTTCGAAATGAATATCATTTTAAAGAATAACATATGAGGGTTACTCATTTAATGCAAACTTACTTGAGATAATTTAATAAAACATGACAATGAGATGGCGAGAATCCTCTGTAGCATTTAACATAATTATTAAATATAAAAATCTTTGCCTTTGTAGTGAAAAAAAAAAAATAAGTCTGTAGAAAATATCAATTAGCGGTTTTCATTATTTAAGGACTCCTCCGGAGACTTTTGTGCTTATTAAGCGAGTTTAATTGTAGTCTATAGAACGTGACAGTATGACGCTGTCACCATACAACTGCAAATGTGAGAACCGAAAATTAATTAGTACTCCAATTGAACACCATCGTGCGATCTCAGACCGCGACCACAATTGCAACAGGTGTTTTAATTAGTATGTCTACAATACGTATGTACCTAACCTATATTATACAAAAGAAAATTATATTTATCAATTACCTAATAACCTTTTGATAGGCTTTTGATAGGATAACCGTGTATAAAAATATGTCCAGAATTTATTTATTTATTTTATATTCATTCGATTCTATCCCTTTCGTATTATACTCGTGAAATAAGTTGTCTGTATATGGGGAGAGCATTTAGTCTGCGAGTACTCGTAACACGCATACGTAAAAAGTCAACTGGTTCCGCACCGACCTTGTTTAGCCATTAAGATAAGGATCTCACGCGGCACGGCTTAGCTTCTGGAGAGACAGTTTTGCGACACGAAGCTCGAGTGGGGAATCAAAGCTAGCAGCTTTCGCGAGACCTGTTTCGGGCGAGGTCGATGTGGCTCGTTATTGCGGGACCCCATATGTGAGCACTTCATATTTATCGTACGGAAACGTAATGCATGCATGATAACAAAACAAATGTCGATTCCTTATGCTGGAGGTGCCAGTACCTTGCTACTTTTTAAATGTGGCAGGGCCATGCAACAGTCGTCACTGATGCACGAATGAACAGGTCCGTCCGAGGAAGTACCATAACCTCACAAAGTAGTGTTTTCGTGTGTACGAGTGAGGTAGCCGGGGTTCACTCTATTAAAAGGCAACGCATCTGCAATCCTAGGTATTGCAAATGTCATTGGGTGGGCCTTTCCACATTTCACCTTCAAGACATGAATTGGTTCTCTATTCGATAGTTTTTTTTTATATTTCTTACCTTACAACTCCGTCATTTAATTCTATTTTAAAAATACTTTATGTATTTGGTTCGGTTTAGCTTCTTTATATTAATTTAATTGGTGGTGAACCTTGAACTGCGGAGATATATCAAATAGATTGTGTGCCTTTATTTAAGAGGTCGCTTTTTTGTTATTGAAAATTGTGAGAAAAATAGTCAAAACATTCCCACCGATAAAGTCATTCGTTGCGCTCGTATGTATTGAAAATAAAGAAATCGGGCATTACTCAGAATTTTCAATGGCGCAAGGGAAACCGGGTACCGTTTAACCATTTTTGGCAGGGGCCACTTTTTACGCTTGTTTATCGTTCGTTCAAGTAATTAATGATTTAAATATCAAGCACGCCGATCCATAAATTATCATAATTATCAAGGCAACGAGACAACGAAGAGTTGACAACATTTAAAACCGACCAAGTGCAAGTCGGACTCGCTCACGAAGGGTTCTGTACCATTATCTATAAAAACGGCAAAAAATCATGTCTGTTTTATGGGAACTCCACTTAAAATATTCTTTCAGTCTGTATTCAGTATTTGTCGCTATAGCGGCAACAGAAATACATCATCTGTAAAAATTCAACTTTCCAACATTCACGGTTCATGAGGTACCTACAGCCTGGTGACAGACGGACCGACAGCCTGTCGGTCCGTCAATTAAACTAGGTAGTCTTACTAATAGGGTGCCGTTTTACCCTCTGGGTACGAAAACCTAAAAGCTACCATTAAAAATACGCTGACCAAAATAAAACAGAAGAGAGGCGCGGGCAAATGTATCCATATGCTTTAATTACTTATATAGGTATATATTAATTAGAAATAATTGTAAACGTGATTCACGGGGTCGCTACAAGATCTTGTATTCTTATGAATAAACTACAATTAAAGTAAATATTTATCCTTTTAAAACATAACACTCATTCAATATATTTCCTTCTGAATGAGATGATTCCGTTAATAAAAAGTAAATGCCTGCTAAAATTATCATAAACTATGCTAATATTTTGGTTAAATAGCATAAACACCATTGTTCAAACATTTTCTTAATCAGGTTTGATAAATGGTTATTTCGATTTAAGAGCAGAGCTCTGATGATCTTTTGGCAAGTTTATCGTCCAAAAAAGGAAACTTAAAAATTTATTGGACTTAAAGGGGCGACGGGTAGAGAATGATTGTAGGTATTAAGTCTGGCTTTTGTATTACTTACTATAAATTCATAATTAGCAAGCACCGCGGATTTATATTTGCTACAATTTTAAATTATTCACTACTATTACCGCTTACGAAGATTCATACGTGTGTATGAACCTTCGTAAGCTATTAAGCCTTCCCTATACGAACCATGGGTAAATATGTTTATTTCGACTACACGACCATCGAAGAAATTGTGGCGAGAGGAGTTAAGAAAAACAAGGGGTGATTATTTTGCCGCAACACATTTGATAATATAAACGAAACTGTTGTTTATCTACTTTCACTTCACCGCTGGATGATGTGAAAGGGGAGGGTAGCACGTAATCTCACCCCCGCCCGCCCGTGGGGTTGGTTCATCCCCCCAAGACGTCCGTGCGGGCAAACACTTTAATACGGCGGGAGCGCGGAGCATCTCTCGCGTCTAGTCGTTGGAGAAAATTAGACGAGAACCGGCGAAAATCGAGCGAGAATAGCTCCCAACGCCGAAATTCAATTTCATATCCAATATTTTTCACTCACTGCTATCTCGCTAGTCCCGTCTATGTACGCTTTAAAAGTCCAAGAAAAGTTTAAAATCTTGTCATATATATTAGCAATTATGCTAAAGATATAACTAAAAACCTTAATAACTGAAAATTATGCTGTGATAGCTCGATGTCCGAGCGCTCGGCTTTAATTCAGTATACTCGAGTTCAATTACCGGTATACCAATAGAATTTTTAATTTATGTGCTGACTTAAAAAAAAATTCGAAAGCATGTGAAGTCCACCAATGAGACCTTTGCCCGGCAGTGGGACGTCGCTGTTTCTTTACTATAAGATGTTACTGAAAAAAGTAAAAAGTAAAGTAACAACCTATACATGTCCCACTGCTGGGCAAAGGCCTCCTCTATACAGAGGGTATCAGGGCATAGTCCACCACGCGGCCCCACTGCGGATTGGCGGACTTCACATATCTTCGAAATAATTTTTTTTTTGTTATTTTTTCGAAAATATGTCGGTTTCCTCACGATGTTTTCCTTCACCGCGGAGCACGTGATAAGTCAGCACTTAAAGTTAATAACTTAAAGATGTTACTGATGACTATCCAATAAGTGACAAGGTCAATCAGGTTCAAGTTATAAGTAATAGTTTCAGTTCATAATCACATATCGACCAACGGACAAAATTTAACTGCTAAAGTTTTTAAATGCATTTTAAACTCTGTTCACTTCCAAATTTATCTCAAAATAATATCATAGCCATTCGACTATTCCTTAGATTCATCATTCCATTTATGTATATAAGTACCTACTAAATATATAGATAACGAACGTTGATATCAGTAAACTGTGAATAATTTTATAGGGGCCAACATTATTTAATTTGCGACCTATATTTATAGCTTCAATGATAATTTCATAATATTTTAATGTTATTATTTCCTTAGTCGTACATATTCCGTACACAAAAGAGAATAATAATAAATGTTATTTCATTAAAATTTTTGACAAGCCAATATTTTTGCCAAGAGTTACACGAATGTAATATATAAACTTAAAATTAATTATTTTCAGATCATATCGAAGTTCATTACGAACGCATTCAATATTGAAACGTGAACGTATAGTGACGCGCTTTACGGCTCGGCTAAGCCATCGTTTAAACGACTTTATAGCATCGCAAGCCGAGCGTAGACACGTAGCGGGCGGTTGCCTTTAAAGAGGCATCAAGCATCCGATTTCACTGTGAAGTCACCAAGTGTTATGGAGCTGTGGCCCTCAATGGAGGTAACTGGATATTGGTGGAGGGGCGATGAACTTTGAAGTAGACTTAAAAACACCAGAGCGCAAAAACAATAGACCTCAATGCTCATCCATCCCAAAAGATCAGTCATCGCTTTCTCATCAAGTGATAGAACCACTGGTAAGGTGATCATCAGTAGTAGTATGAATACAGCAAAGTATTCCAAACATTGCGAGTTATATAACTAAATATGTATCACTTTAGTGTTTTCTATTTAGCTTTACTCTTGATGAATCAAGATATATCATGGTTGGTTAGAAATAAAGCACAATACATATTTATGTATATTTATGTCCAACATGAGTTGTTGAGCGGTAATTGTGCTCGGTACTTTGTGTGTGATACAGTTCACATTACAGATATCCGCAACGTGCCGGCCATATACCTCGCAGAAACGATAACCGTTCTCGAGTGGCATTGGTCATCGCAGTATTGGACAATCTCGGCAATTTGTATAGGGGACTAAAACAGGCTGAAGTGATGACGATCTCGGTCA